TATATATATATATACGTATGTGTGTGTAATGTGTATTACTAAAGCGTTACAACCCGATTAAACTTATAATTAATTACTTTGAAATATTATAAATATAGTGTTTGCTTTGCACTTGCTTTTGCCTCTGTAAATCTTTCTTTGCAATTGTGTACAGAAGGCCGATTAACGATTCTAAGAGATGAGTCGAAAGAGGATGTTCTTCGCAGATGTTGATTCGCAAAGAGAGGCATAGGGATTAATTATTAATATCTCGAGAAAGAGAAAGAAGGAGAGAGAGAGAGAGAGAGGGAGAAAGAGGGTTTTCTCTTCGCTCGACTGACCGCAACGTTCTTTCGTTTCCTAGAAGACTCCGTTAAGCATTTAGATTCAGACTCACGTTTAAAAGCGTCTCACACTGCTGTAGTACGTTTCCTGATCCTGATTTCTTTTGACGACAAGTTCGAGATTTATCAACGTTCTAAGGACGGAACGTCAAATGGGAGGATTTGCTTCTTTCCACTCCTTAAGTAATCGAGAGATATTCGACGCGATAATTTATTTCAATTTCCCTCAAAAGCTTCGGGGATTAAATCGGGGCGATTAGTATTCGCGAAACTACGCTCAATGTTATTTTATAAATATTTTACAGTTTTTTTTTCACTCTTTCTCTCTCTTTTTCTTCTCGTATTGCGATAACATTTTGCTATCCGTGTCATCCGAAGATATCTTATGATACGTCGAAGATCGTCGTAATATAGATTTATGCGAACGGCGGTTCGCAGTGTAATCCTGAATTACATCATTGCGAACAGTCGCGAAATACACGTCGTACAAAGTAGAATTTATCGAGAACTCATGGTCTGAAGGAGCTATTTATATCACACGAATGTGTTTTATTGTTACAGAGGGGTAGCGACGAGCTTCTGTCGCAAAGTGGGGCAGTCAGCAATGGTGCTTCAATGAGTCCGCAACCTCATCACGCGGCCGACAACAACAATGACGCCAAGAAGGTGAGTACTTTTAATTAAATCAGCGAGCAGTCTCCCCATCTCCGCGCGATAATCACAGGTCCCAAAGATATTTAAAAAGATTCTGATATATAGATAATTGAAAGAGAATCTACTATCGGAGAATAATTATTATTTATCATTATTTTCAGTTTTATATAAATATATATAAATAAGGTTCCGTTCACCAACTGTCCGAGATAACGTATCGACGTATATGCCGAGACGATAATGGTCAAGCGAGTAATTTCTGTCTCGCACCGTCGATTTTATCATGGTGAAAAGGATCGTGTAGCCAGGACGAGAAGATCGTCAGCCGAGACGTGGACGACTCGCATGTTTCGAGGACGATGCGCAGTGAAGAATATACGCTAATTTTCGCGAGTGCAGTTGCGAGCGATTTGAATTTGAGTGGAACACAAAGATTTTGTGTCGGCAGCTATGTTTTGTTGAATGCTTCTTCGTCGTACCGTCCAAAATATTTCGTTTCTCCCAACTTCGAGCGCTCATTTGGTATAGTTTATGCGACACGTTGGAGTCTAGTGACGCTGTTGACGGTTTACCTCGTTCATTTTTGCCGAGTGTGTGAATTCGAATTTTATATAAATATATATAAATATATTTAGTTTTATATATAAATATATACTTATATAATAAAAATTTTTTTTTTCTCGAAATGCTCTCGGAATAAAGTCGCAAATTTGTATTTTATATATCGCGTCTTTCTTCTCGAAAGAAAATCCCCTTTTTCGATTTCGGCGATGGCAATAATACACGTGGCATGACGGAATAAAATACAAGGAACGCCGATAACTTCCTTCTCGGTTCGTCCATTTCACCGATGGCGGAAAGCGGTCGTGCGGAGCTTTTTGGGAGAGCTTTTCTCTCTCCCCCGAGTTGCCTCACGGCGAACCGACCGCAACCAGAACGCGCAACGAACCATAAATCATCGCATACCAAAGAGAAATTCGTATGCAGTGACCTCGATTGAAATGCGTCCATTGAAATCTGATCGGTCGCTTTCGCGTTCCCCGAAGAGTTCTCGCGTTCCTTCCGGCTTTCCCATCGCAACGAACGTATGGCTGTCCATCAAAGAGACCGGGAAATCGTTTTTTTATTTTTTTTTTCGGTCGAAGTCGCGCTGATTCGCTGTACGTAGAAATTTTTGACGAAACGACCCGACAAAAATTGTCGGTGGACGAACTCGCGACGTGGAAAACTTAATTTTTCACGGCGGCCGATTATTATTCTTTGCGCATAACGACGCGCGTCAACGAGAGATATGACAATTATTAATTAGTCTCGTGTGTGTGTGTGTGTGTGTGTGTGTGTGTGTGTGTGTGTGTGTGTGTGTGTGTGTGTGTGTGTGTGTGTGTGTGTGTGTGTGTGTGTGTGTGTGTGTGTGTGTGTGTGTGTGTGTGTGTGTGTGTGTGTGTGTGTGTGTGTGTGTGTGTGTGTGTGTGTGTGTGTGTGTGTGTGTGTGTGTGTGTGTGTGTGTGTGTGTGTGTGTGTGTGTGTGTGTGTGTAGCGACGAGCTTCTGTCGCAAAGTGGGGCAGTCAGCAATGGTGCTTCAATGAGTCCGCAACCTCATCACGCGGCCGACAACAACAATGACGCCAAGAAGGTGAGTACTTTTAATTAAATCAGCGAGCAGTCTCCCCATCTCCGCGCGATAATCACAGGTCCCAAAGATATTTAAAAAGATTCTGATATATAGATAATTGAAAGAGAATCTACTATCGGAGAATAATTATTATTTATCATTATTTTCAGTTTTATATAAATATATATAAATAGTGTGTGTGTGTGTGTGTGTGTGTGTGTGTGTGTGTGTGTGTGTGTGTGTGTGTGTGTGTGTGTTCGTTCGTGTGTGTGTGTGTGTGTGTGTGTGTGTCGCGAGATAATCGACTACCGATAGACGAAGAGAAATTATAGACGTGTATCTCTACGGGAAAAATTAATTTTCGGCGCTTGCGCATCGCAACAAAAAGTAGAGAGAGAATAGCCGCCCGATAGCCTGACGATTATTAATCGATCTACTTACGGGATCGCGAAAGTATAGATTATTTTGTGAATGCCATTAAGAGCACACTGTATTTATGTCCCGTTGAAATTAATAGTCGGTTCAGAGGTGAACTTTATATATTTTGTCGAATATAAAGAGTCGATAAATCTTTCGTATCAATATTTTCTTGTACGTTTATATTTATTTCAATTTTGAAAATTGAAAATGCAAAGATTAAAAATACACACATCGGGAATGAAAAAAGTAACATTTTTGCAAGTGAGAGGAAAAATGCGACGTAAGATATGGCCTTTTAGCGAGGTAACGTACCTTAATTAATATTTTGCACGCTCCGCCGTGGCGACAGCCGTTTAAGCTTCGCCTCGGGAAGAGGACGAAACAGCACTTTTCTCGCGCACCTGCTTTCGTCACGTATACTCGACGTCGTCACACGTCGTTTCGACGAAGACACGAAAAAATTGTGAAATTTCTGGAACGCAAACGACGTCGACGACGGCGTGTTTGAAAACCGCATCGGGGGACACGGTCTCATGTCTCGGATCACTCGGTTGCACGTGCACCACCGGATGTAGTCTAAAAGTTCGACCTCGTTCCTCTCCGGGCGTCGTTAATCATTTTCGTATATATGTAGTTGCAAACAGAGGCAAGCTCTGGTGGGCGAGATACGTAAAGCGATCTGCTTTCATTTTCCGCGGAATTTACCGAAATCCCTGTTTAACTGAATCGGCGAGTTTTTGCATCACCGAAAAATGTCGATACGATTTGATTAATAGTTTGATAGCGAGATGTAGGCGTTCTCGCATTAGATCGTATTTTAACACAAAGATGAACGGAATTCTCTTCGAAATGCGCGATTTTTTACCATATGTGGCATAAATCGACGAGACGAGCAGTTTACGTACACATCGCGCATTATTTTTTCTTCAACTTTACCATTATTTTTTATTATGACAAACAATGTCATTTAAAAATGTCAAGGCAATCTTAATAGCCTCGTTAAAACAACTGGCGGAGTGGGAAGTTAACTAGTCTGATTTTTTAGCAGTTGGATACACGTTTAAAATATCGTTCTCTTCATTCACATTCGAAATATATATATAAATCACGCGAAATGAATGTTAATTATTATGAAACATCCACTACAAACAACAACTTTTCCTGCGCTCTTTGATATCCTATTATTACATCTCTTCGTAGAAATTATATATATATGTTAATTAATTTTATACACATTATAATTATATTTACCAGCAAGTTACACAACCCTTCCTTTTTGTTGTCATAACATAACAAACAACAACGAATGCTACTGTTTTACAGAGCGGAAATGAAAATCATGCTGCGTCGCTTGACATTTTCCACGGTGTGCTAATAACGTGAATGCAAGAACGCATTATGATAGTGTGATGACGCGTGTAACGCGAAACCTATCGCCGATCGTTAATGTAACGGGTTTTTCACGAGAGAATGTGCTTTTTACGCGTATATTTACTCGTGACATTCCGAGGACGGATTTGGTGACAAAGCCGGAGCCTTTCCGGCTTGCCGCCTTTTACTTTGAAAATGTACGCGCTCTACTTTCCGACGAAAATTCTCATACGACGAGAGAGACTCCAGGAAATTATTAGCCATTGCCGAGTATGAACACGTTTGTTTTACGCGCCAGCTGAAGACGCAACATTTACGTGGCGTGCAAAAAATACCGCGGAAAATATCGTACTTAATTTTACATTATCGTATTTAAAACAATAACAGCACGAGAATAATGTTGTAACAAAAATTTTAAAAAGAAATAAAATTCGTGTCTACTAATTAAATTATGTGGTTAGATCGATTTATGTAATATGATAATGTAATATATATTATAATATAACGCATAATGAAATTATTACAGTACAAATAATTTGCTTCTATCTCGTAAAAAAGAAGTTTCTCTTAGAAATATTTACAAAAATGTTTCGAAATTATATTTCGTGTCCACAAGGTGATCAGAATTACGATTTGTTGGTTTCTTTCCTAAACATGGGCGAGAATAGCTTTGGGACCTTTCCCCCTCGGTTGCGGAATTGCTCCTAGCCGGAGCAATTTCGCCCCGACCCACGGTATATATTTCGGAACGACTCTGCCATAACACATATGCCTCTTACTTAATATAAATTGGCGTTTGGGAAAAGGGTCTGGAGGGTCCAATTTATCAGAGAGGAAATCGAACCCGCGCTGCGCCCGCCATCGGCGCGAAATCTGTTAGGTTAAGAAAAAAAGTCGATCCCCCTGGAGGGATGGGGAAGAGGGGCGCGGTTAAGGAAATGCAGGGGGAATCATCTTCTTACAATCCGGGAGTATGTTTTCATCTTCCTTCCCCTCTCCATAAAACTCGCTGACCGACGTACATCATCTGCTCGCTGTCATTACGAGCGTACGATACAGCAGGTGCTTTTCCAACCCTTTCTTTCTCTCTCTCTCTCTCTCTCTCTTTCTCTTTGTTTCAACATCTCTTTTTAGCTCTTTCGCTTTTAGCAACATTCTATTTTTTTACAGCATAATCCCTCTCGCGTATTTTTTAGAGCTCTTTTTCGCGTCACGCGAAAGCTCTCTGTTTTAGTGCTTTATTAGCTTATAATTAGAAAGATTTTTAAAAACCTGGTATTTGCATCATTTCTTTTGTAAATTATATAATGTATTTTTATTTACTAATGCGTTAATCGAAGAGAAGAGAGGAGATAGAAAAATTGTACCTACTTTTTTTTTAATCGATTATTTCGCTTTATAACATGCTCGCAAAAATCACGCAAATTAATCTCGCTGCAAAGAAAGCGACGCGCCGAAGAATCACTATTTCACGAAGCTTGCGGAGTGCAAAATCCGCGGTTGCGAAGAGTTGAAAAGCGAGGAAAAAGGAAGGTGACGAGGAAAGGCGAGAATTTCTCTTTCTCTTGAAAGCGCGACAGGCGGAGGAGTAGAAAAAGGAAAAGAGTC